AAAAAACTCCATATAAATGGAAGTCCAGAACCAGATGGCTTCACAGATGAATTCTACCAAATATTTAAAGACTTAATACCTATTCTTCTCAAACTATTCCAAAAAACAGAAGAGAAAGGAAAGCTTTCAAATTCATCCTATGAGGTCAGTACTATCCTGATAAAGACACCACAAAAAAGAGAGAAAACTACAGGCCATTCTGTCTGATTCATGAACATAGATGCAAAAATCTTCAACAAAATACTAGCAAACTGAATCCAACAATACATTTAAAAAATCATTCACCACAATCAAGTGGGATTTACCCTGGAATGCAAGGGTTGTTCTATATTCACAAATCAATCACAAATATCATAGCAACAAGAGAAAGGATAAAACCCATATGATCATTTCAATGGATGCAGAAAAAAATATGACAAAGTATAACATCCATTTATGATAAAAAAAAAAAAACCACAACAAAGTAGGTTTAGAGAGAACATACCTCAACATAATAAAAGCCCTATATGAAAAACCCACAGTTAACATCATCCTCTATGGTGAAAAACTGACAGCTTTTCTCCCAAGATCAGGAACGAGACAAGGATGTCCACTCTCACCACTTTTATTCAACATAATACTGCAAGTCCTAGCCACAGCAATCAGACAACAGAAAGAAATAACAGGCATCCAAATTTGTAAGGAAGAAGTAAAACTTTCCCTATTTGCAGATGATATAATACTATATATAGAAAACTTGAAAGACTCCACCAAAAAATTGGTATAACTGATCAATGAATTCAGTAAAGTTGCACGATACAAAATCAACGTACAGAAATCTGTTGCATTTCTATACACTAAAAATGGAGTAGCATAAAGAGAAATTAAGAAAACAATCCCATTTACCATTGCACCAAAAAGAATTAAATACCTAGGAATAAACTTAACCAAGGAGGTGAAAGACCTGTATTTCTGAAAATTACAAAACACTGATGAAAGAAATTGAAGACGACACACACAAAAATGGAGGTATTCCATGCTCATGGATTGGGAGAACAAATATTGTTAAAATGTCCATACTACCAAAAGCAATTTGCAGATTTAATGCAATCCCTATCAAAATACTAACAGCATTTTTCACAGACTAGAACAAATAATCCTAAAATCTGTATGGAACCACAAAAGACCCTAAATAGCCAAAGCAATCTTGAAAAAGAAGAACAAAACTGGAGATATCATAATCCCAGATTTCAAGATTTACTACAAAGCTGTAGCAATCAAAACAGTGTGGTATTGGCACAAAGAGACACATAGATCAGTGGTACAAAACAGAGAGCCAGGAAATAAATCCACAATTATATGGTCAACTAATCTTTAACAAAGGAAGCAAGGACATGCAATGGGAAAAAAAGTCTCTTCAGCAAATGGTGCTGGGAAAACTGGACAGCAGCATGCAAAAGGATGAAACTAGACCACTTTCTTATAACACACACAAAAATAAAACTGAGAATGGATTAAACACCTAAATGTGAGACCTGGAAACCATAAAAATCCTAGAAGAAAGCACAGGCAGTAACTTCTCTGACATCATTCATAACAGCATTTTTCTAGATATGTCTCCTGAGGCAAGGGCAACAAAAGCAAAAATAAACTGTTGGGACTACATCAAAATAAAAAGCTTTTGCACAGCAAAGGAAGATCCCCAAATAGCCATAGCAATCTTGAAAAAGAAGAAGAAAACTGGAGGTATCACAATTCCAGATTTCAAGTTATATTACAAACCTGTGGTAATCTAAACAGTATGGTACTGGCACAAAAATTGACACACAGATCAGACACATAGATCAGAACAGAACAGAGAGCCCAGAAATAAACCTATGATTATATGGTCAATTAATCTGTGACAAAGGAAGCAAGGATATGCAATGGGGAAAAAAAACAGTCTCTTCACCAAATGGTGTTGGGAAAACTAGACAGCTACGTGCAAAAGAATGAAACTAGACCACTTTCTCACACCATACACAAAAATAAACTCAGAATGGATTACAGACCTAAATGTGGAACTGAAACCATAAAAATCCTAGAAGAGAACACAGGCAGTAAGGTCTCTGGCATCAACCATAGCAACATTTTTCTAGGTAGGTCTTCCAAGGCAAGGAAAACAAAAGCAAAAATAAATGACTGGGACTACATCAAAATAAAAAGGTTTTGCACAGCAAAGGAAACAATCAACAAAACTAAAAGACAACTTACTGAATGGGAGAAGATATTTGCAAATGATATATCCGGTAAGGGGCTAGTATCCAAAATATATAAAAACTTATACAACTCAACACCAGAAGAACAAATAATCCAATTAAAATATGGGCAGAAGACACGAATAGATATTTCTTCAAAGAAAACACACAGTTGGCTAGCAGACACATGAAAAGATGCTCAACATCACTCACCATCAGAGAAATGCAAATCAAAACCACAATAAGCTATATCCTCATACCTGTCAGAATGGCTAAAATCAAAAACACAAGAAACAAGTGTTGGAGAGGATGTAGAGGAAAAAGAAACCTTGTGTACTATGGGTGGGAATGCAAACTGGGGCAGCCACTGTGGAAAAGAGTATTGGAAGCTCCTCAAAAAAATAGAAATAGAATTACCATATGATCCAGTAATTCCACCACTGGGTATTTACCCGAAGAATATGAAAACACTAATTTGAAAAGATATATGTACCCCTAAGCTTATTGCAGCATTACTGACAACAGTCAAATTATAGAAGCAACCTGTCCATCAACAGACGAATGAAAAAAAGAGGAGGTGATGTGTGTGTGTGTGTGTGTGTGTGTGTGTGTGTGTGTGTGTGTGTGTATGAGAATATTACTCGGCCATAAAAAAAGAATGAAATCTTGCCATTTTCAATGACATGGGTGATCTAGAGGATATAATGCTAAGCGAGATAAGTCCATCAGAGAAAGACAAATCCCATATGACTTAACTCATGTGGAATTTAAGAAACAAAACAAATGAACAAAGAAAAAAAAGAGACAAACCAAAAAACAGACTCTTAACTACAGAAAACAAACTGGTGGTTACCGGAGGAGAGGTGAGTCGGGGGATGGATAGAATAGGTGGAAGGGATTAAGAGTATTCTTACTGTGATGAACATCAGGTATTATATAGAATCGTTGAATCACTACATTGTATATCTGAAATTAATATAACACTATATATGTTAATTATACTGGTATTTTAAACATAATAAAAAAATTTTAATTAAAAACAAAATAAACGAAGATATAATAAAACTAGAAACAAGCCAAATAACTATCAATATACAAATGGATAAATAAACTGTGGTAGATTCACACACAGTAATACTATATAGCAATTATACACACGCGCGCGCGCGCGTGTTCGCACACACCTCTGGAGTATGACACTGGATGAAGGAAGCCAGATCCAAAAGAGGGCATACCGTATGATCCCCCTTACATAGCATTTAAGAATAAATGAAACTAGGGCACCTGGGTGGCCCAAATAACCGCCGTTATGGAATCATCTCTTGGATGGAGGTGGTAGAAATGTTTCTAACATGAAAAAGGACTACCAGGATCCTAATCGGCAGCCTAAAAGACCAACCGATAGCTATGCATTCCAAGGACAGCCCAAGGAGACAGGCCTCCACGCAGTCTTGGGGAGCTCCTGCTACCCAGAGTCGTTTTAGGGGGTGTCATCCAAGATGGCAGACTAAGAAAACCTTCTCTGGCTTCCTTCCCTATTATATAAGTCATCGTGGGGAAAAGCGAGAAATCAACCACGTTGAGATCAGCAACTATTTACACATTTTGTGGAGCAAAGAGCAAGGCAAGCTATTATTTTAGAGTGTGGGGAGTCAGGTGAGCCAGCAGCTCACTTACAGACTTACGGACGTAAGCTCACTTGACTTAACGGACAGGCTGAGTTTCTAGAAAAGAGAGTGGTATCTATGTCGGCAAACAGCTATTTGCCACCTTCCTTTGAAACACTTGGTCACCTCTAGACAACCTTCCACCTCACCCGCCCTTTATCATCTGGGTCTCTCAGCAATTAGCCAAACAATGAACAAGTATTCTTTGTTTTGTCTTTTTTTAAATTCATCTCCCACTTGAATTGTATTTACCGAGACAGACTTCCTAACTAGTCAAAGCTGACCAGGCACAAAAGAAGAGAAGCAGGTGATGTAGGGAAAGGGCGCCACCTAGGGACGTACCTCCAGAACTCCAGTCTCATCTCCAGGTCCCTGACTCAGCCAAGGCAATATCCCACAGATTTTAGAAAAGAACGAATTTATCTCAAAATATCTACAGCCACTTAAAACATATGTGATCTCAGCACATTCCACTTACTGTTTGCACTGATGTAGATAGAGCCGAGACTGATAATCTCAAGCAGCTCTCATGTGGATTTCTAGATTCTGACGAGCCCTAGGAGGTCAATCTTCCCAAATCCTATTTGATTTAGACTGATAGTAAACTCTTCTTCATTCCCTGAATAAATGCGAGGCTCAGGAGCAGTTCACACAAAAGGAGGAAATGGGCTGAAATGGGTGTTTGGCAATAGGGAAAAATCACAAATAAACGGAAGCTGGCTTATTTGTATTTCTTTACTCCTGCTCTAGCACACTGGAACATAATACAGTGAAAGCTCACAACTGTAAAAATCTGATAAAAACAGCTTTCAATATTCACCAACAAACTCAAACTATAGTAAAATACTTTTATTTTCAACTAATAACACAACCATGTTCAGACTCTTATACGTCATTAGCTACCAGTAGACTTGGTGCACACACAGATGCACACACATACCCTGAGCAAAGTTAGCAAAACATAAGATTTAAATGTGCTCGTCCTATTTAATAGAGCATTGTCCTGGAAATAAGAAGGACCGCAAAGCCCAGCATTCTGGTGAAAGCCCAGATTTCTATTTTCAAAGAACCCACACTCTTACCCACAGTGAGTGAATGGAAATGAATAGGCACTTACCAGGGATTTTCGATGATTGGCTCTAAGAATAAATGGCTTAATCAGAAGCATCCACGGGACAGAAATCAAAGCCATAATAACAAAGAAACTCTGGACTTCTTGCTGTAAGATCAAAATCGTAAGATCCCATCACTTCAAGGTGATCACACGGCATAACTTATATGATAAAAATTATAAATATGGATCATTTTAGTTGTACTTTATTTTGAGAGATCTAAAGCATGTCAGTGTATCCATTCACCTTTACATCTTGGAGTATTCCCACTGCAGTCCAGTGGTGCCCAGCGTCAATCCAGAGTGGGCACTGGAAACTCACTATCTTATTCCTTACTCTTTGAGTACCGCCTTGCTATCCACCCACCCCACAGGTGAACAAGAAGTACTCACAAGGCACATAATAAGGGCAACTTTACTTATCCCTTGTCCCATGGGAATAGTTAGCCCCTGGCCCTGCATGAAAAGTGTGGCAGGCCCCATGACTTCACTGGTCACTCCACAGTAGCCAAAACCCCTTGGGTCACTTGAAGTGACAAAGATGATCTCAATTAGCAATTGTATATTCCCAGGACTAGATAATTATCTGTGCTCTGTTGCTCTCTGTCTTTCAAAAAAGAAAAATAACTTCTTCTCAATAAGAAAAAAAAAGCTTCCTCACGCTCTTGCTGTGGGTGAGTCACCCGCCAGGCTCTGAGGTAGCCATGTTGGACTCTCCCTGGCTGTGTCCCTCACAGCTCCCTCTGGGCTGAGGCAACCACGGTCTCGATGCTTCTGCTGAAACCCAGAATTTGTCCCACCTTATCATCCTGCTGCACATTTCCTCTCACATCCTCATGCCCCCACCTCTTATTATAAAACCCCTAGTCACCAACTTGGAGGAGGGACCCAGAGCTGCTGTGTCAAAGAACCAGGAAGCCCGGGGAGGCTTAGTCAGAGCTACTAAAAGGCATGGACACTGGCTGCTCGAGGGGGTAAGGAAAAATGTTTCTTAGACCTTCACTTTTCTTCTGCTGTTCTGGCCAAGCTCTCAGTGAATGCCAGGGGACGATTTTTATGCCGGTCGTGGTAAGATTCACCCCGCTAACAGTGGGGACATCCTAGCCCCTCAGTCTTCCTTCTACTTTCCTCCACTCTGAAACGCTCAGAAGAGGGAAGGGAGCCTCAGAAACACACCATGCTTGCCAGTCCTAGCTTCCTGCGCTACCTCATCGCCATTTGTCCATCTGTATGCAAGGTTTTCCACCTCACGATGTACACAGCAACCAGAGATTTATATTTATCTGTTGCTCTTCTTCTTTGATATTCAAACATGGCACCACGATGGCCATGGCACTGTTGGGAAGGGGCTGGGTTATCAACTTACATCGTCTCTTCCAGCTGCATGACCCCAAAATGAGGCTATGGAAACTTCAAACTGTGTCAGGATAATGCATCTTCATACCAGGGCACAGGGAAACCAGCCAACTCCCAAAAAGGGTTTTGAAGGGGGAAAAAGAGCTGGAAGAACCATTCACTGTGCAAAGTTCAGTGCATATTCCAAACCAGGTGAGGACTTTAGTCTCTATGAAAGGAGGTAGCGCGTGAAATAGTTGGTGAGTCTGAGTCCTTTGCCTAAAAGAGAAGACTTCTTCGGGAAGTCCAAGTGAACTTTCATTCAAACGCCGGCACTGAGTAAATGAACCTTCCAAATATGTTCATTTAGTGCTCATAGTCTAGGGGTGGTTCGTATACCATTCACGGAGGTATAACGAAAACATTACAACAGTGAAGTGGGCTACCTCAAAAGGGCTTTCAGAGATATAGGTCTTCTCTGATTATTATCTTAAACCTGAATTATCTTTATTTTTCATAAAAAATGCCCTGCCATAAGGCATTTTCTCTTCTAATTTTGTTGCTCCTATAGAGGAGGCGAACACAGCTAGGACTCAAACGCATGAGGCCACAAGCAGCCACAGGAGGGCACAGCACGTCTTCAGTGAGGACGTCCAGGCGTCAACAACCTTGAGTGGGTGGGTGCTAAGATGGCTCAGTCTTGCAAATAACTATTCCCTGCAATACTCAAGACTGCGAGAGAGATGTGACGTTATCCAGTGCATAAAAGAAGAAAAAAAAAACCCCATCGATACCTGATGTTTGTACAGGGGTGCATTGGAAGGGTCATCATAGTTAAACAGAAACATGTTAATGAAGTGGATGAGGATGCTAGGGGCATGCTGGGACGCACGGACATCAAAGTGGCACCATTTGAAAACGATCATGAAAACCAAGTATCCAAAGAGACACAGGATAAAAATCATCTCAGGAATAAATTGCAGAACGATGTTGAGAGTTCTTCTGAAGTATCTGGGGGTGGGAAACACACACATGAGAGAGAGAACACTGAGCGAATATCAGGAACTAATTATTCGCCCCAAAGCACAAAATGTTCATTTTTCGCACACTGCATCTACTTCTTAGCAAGCAGCAATTATGCAGGGATGGGAAAAGGAGAAAGGAAGGATTCAAGAGAACCAGAGTCTGGAAGGTAGTGTCTGAAGCAAAGGGCAGGTCTGCAGGGAGAGCTGGTGGTTTGACCTGCACACCTAGCTCATACCAACACAACCAAGGGCACAAAGATATGGAAGGGCGACTAGGAGGCTTTTTCTCCTAAGACACGGGTTGGAAAGCTAAGGCTTGTGGGCCAAACTGAGCCCATTCAACACAAGTTGAAAATGATTTTTACATTTCTAAATGGTTGACCAAAAAACTCAAAAGAACAATAGTTTATGATATGTGAAAGTTATACGTAATTCAAATTTTAGTGTTCATTAATAAAGTTTTATTAGAACACAGACCCACTCATCCGTTGACAGATTATCCATGGCAGCTTTTATGCCCCAACGCCAGGACTGAGTAGTTGCGACAGAGACCGTCTGGCCTCCAGAGCCTAAAATACGTACTCTCTGGCTCTTTACAGAAAGAGTTTGCCGACTCCTGCTCTAAGTTCTAGAGAGAGTCCCACAAGGCTAAGTTGGTGGCCCCCAAGTTAAAATGCCAGAAAGGGTCCCCACTCCCTTTGCTAATTGCAAGAGTTATCTGAGGGAAAAGGGAGATCTCACGATAAAACAGGATCCCTGGATCGGTGAGGCCGGCCTGACACACACTGAAACCAATGATACACTGCTCCAGAAAATACTTTCTGGGATTACCTCTCATTTAATTCTTGTGGCTCTTCCAGGGAGGCAGAGGTCACTGGTCACTGGTACCAGGGTCACTGGTCACTAATCGTCACTAGTTGGCCCACTAACTATATCTGATTTTTCGAATAGATCTGCACTTGTATGAGCTTTCAGGTCAGGGGGCACCACGGGGCTGGCTCTGGCCAATGGGAACAGAAGTGGTCTGGGTCGCTTCTTGGGGGGAAGCTTAAGAGTCCATGTTTTCCACATTGCACATTCCACATTCAACTTTCCATGTTTTCATACATTGTCGCCTTTAGAAAAATAGGTTTGAGAAGTTTTCCGAGACGTAGCTTGATACAAGGAAAGGAAAGATAAGACACGAACAGCCCAAGTGAGAGGCTGCTGACATCAAAGGGAACTGAGAATCTGAGGGCACAGGGGCCCCAGTGTACTTACCTCTCCATTTGCCCACTGGTGGGAGCTAATCCTGGATATGGCAGTGACCGAGACCTTTCAGGTTGGGGAACCCAAGGTGCTATGGGCTTGCCAGTCTGTTTCTGAACCCTCAAATATTTCTGAGGTGAAAGGAACACTCCTACTTGAGCGACCCAGCTCAGGAGAAACAGAGGTCCCACTTCTGCCAAACCAGCCTGTCCTGGCTCAAGCCAAGAGACATGGCAAAGCACTCCCCGTAGGAAGAAGGAAACTCTTGCACAAAGGGACACGGGGCCACATGGGTGGCACTGTCCCTGCTCTTCCACGACAGGGTCAGACCAACAGGCAGCAAGTTAATCATGAAAACTTACATGTGATTGAAAAGGCTGAGAATAACACCGAAAACCATCTGGACAATTCCCAGGATGACTGACATCTTCATTTTGTAGGAATTCAAGAATGTTAGTTTGTTTGAAGCCAAGTTCCAAATCTGGATGGGAAACGTGACAAGAAAGGCATGAGACCAGAGTCTAGAAGTTTTATCGGGGGCAAGAGCAGGACTTCTCCTGAGGAAGTCACTGTAGGGACCACATTTTCAGATTTTGATCCCGTTCAACGCATGCATTCTAGGCTCGGGAAAGGAAAAGGAAGAAACCCCTTATCAATGCAACTCTAATGACAAATGTGTCAGAACCATCAGTACATTAGTAAATATCAAGTGGCCAGAAGAAAGAAAATCCTACGTGATTTTTCCTACTCAGGGAATAGACATTCTGAAACATTGTGGAGAGCTTCCAAACTTGCCTCAGTTCCACTTCTTAGTGGTGGAGATTTCTGGCCCATGAATGTATCCAATCCCTTCTTGATAATACCACCTTTTACTATGATTTCTATAGTGCCTCACTTTACAAAGAATTTTCCTGGGTCCATCTCTAGAAACCACTCTTGTAGCCAATATTTATTAGCACTAGGGCCAGACATGGTCCCTGCCTTCTCCATGGTCCCTGTTTTAAACACAGCTGCCAGGCTTGCAAAGGGAGGGACATGTGTCCTTGCCCTCCTAACAAGACTGACACACAGAGCAAGCGCTCAGAGGGGCTAGGGGGCTGGTCAGGGTCGCACTCTCGCTAACGGTCCCATGGTCTCCACTCCTACTCTTAGTAAATGGTTCAAGTCTTTGCTCTGACCTCCAACCCCTCCTCAACTTTAGACACATCCCCAAACTGCCTGCTAGACATACGTAAGGGTTTGCTATACCGCATCTCAAAGGTAACAGAGCTGCAAGGGTTGTCTCATTTTCCCTCCTAAAACGACTGCCTCCTCCAAACTACTTTGCTTCTGTTAAGGGCTCAAAGCACCCCCTGGGCACAGTCTCAAGACAAAGGTACCTTGCCCCCACCCCATGCACACATACAGGCAGGAACCATATCTCACTGATGCTCTCTTTAAAATGTCCTGAGAAGCTACAAGCTGGCCAACCACTAAGAAGGCTGCTCGGAAGGCAGGCAAAGGGTCTCCAGTAACAGGTGTCCAGACACCAGGGGCATCTTCTCTACCTCCCCCATCTGCCTGGCATTTCAACAACACCAGGCTTGCCCTCCACCCTTTGCTTTTCCCTTCGCCTGCCTGCTTGGCCAGTCCCAACAGGATCACTCAACATGGTTAGGACAGGTTTACCAGCACACTGTAGACCCAGCCAAATCTGACAAACTAAAAATTGAGTACCAGGCACCTCCTAAGCTCTTTAAATATGCTATCTCATTTAATTCTAACAAAAACCCTATGATACAAATATAAATATTCCCGTTTTACACATAAGAGAATTTATCTCTGTCTCAGGAAGATTGAGTTCTTTACACACCAAGGAAGAAATAATACCATGGCATATGGGGTAGTGACCCTATTTATGTACCAGACTCTCTTCTGGGTGTTTTATGCATAAAAATCATTTACTCTTCTGAGCAACCCAGTGAGTTAGAGCTGTTGTCATATCCATTTTGCAGAGACACAGAGGTGTTAACTTGCTCAAAACCACATAGCAAGGAAACAGAAAAGGCAAGATTTATACACAGGCTGTCTGATCCAAGAGCATAGGCTTTTAACCATTTTGTTATGTTCATTTATTACAAAAGATCTACAAACACTTTTAGAAAGACCTCTCAGCTCTGACAGCCAAATATTTTTGTGATTTGATTCGCAAAAAGATGTCGCACATGTCAATAAATGCAACTGTAGACATTTACATTATGTTAAAAATCCAACCCTTCATTAATAGAAGTAAGTGCCGGGGCGCCTGGGTGGCTCAGTCCACTGAGTAACCAACTCTTGATTTCGGCTCAGGGCATGATCTCGGGGTCATGAGATCAAACCCCAGGTGGGGCTCCAGGATCAGCGGGAAGTCGGCTTGAGTTTCTCTCCCTCTGCCCCTCCCCCTGCTCACACATGCGCACTCTCTTGCTAAAATGAAAAAAATAAATCTTTGGGCGCCTGGGTGGCTCAGTCGGTTAAGCGTCTGCCTTCAGCTGAGGTCATGATCCCAGGGTCCTGGGATCGAGTCCCGAGTCAGGTTCCCTGCTTGGCCAGGAGTCTGACTCCCCCTCTCCCTCTGCCCCTTCCCCCCGACTTGTGCTCTCCGCTCTCCCTCGTGCTCTCTCTCAAATGAATAAATAAAATCTTTAAAAAAAAAAAAAAGAAATCTTTAAAAAATAGATAAGTGCTGACACAGGCACAGAAATGTTCTGTTAAAGGGGGTATCTCTGGGGAAGAGAATTACCAGAATAGGAGAGAGAACGCTTTCTTTTTTTTATACTGTTTTGTATTATATGGATTTTTAATCTCATATATGCCTTATTTTGTAATAAAAAGGCCAGAAATTTCAAAAAATTTCAAAAATAATTGCTACCAGGAAAAAAGTTAATTCTTTCACCCTCCCACTTCTCTTCCACCCTCCCCTTCTTCCTCCCTCTCTAACTGGTGGGCAGGCAGACAAAGCTGCCTACACAGTAGACACTCCAGCCCGGTCGGTTCTGAGCCGTGACTATACTGTCCTTTGTCTGAGCAGCAGAACTGGGCAGGCAGGATCTGCTGATAGGTCAGGGGTGGGCTGGGAAGCGAAGAGAGGACAGTAGAGGCAAAGAGATTCAAAGGAAAGGAAGGTCAACCAGACCCTAGGATCAGCCCCCTCTATACTCCTCCGTTGCCTCCTGGCTAATCATGAAAATTCCTTGGACCACAGAAAAAGCCTTCCAGTCCACAAAGATAACAACTTGCATTTGTTTTCCGCACTTTGCAGTTTACAACAAAGCTTCCAAGGACTTCACCTCTTTTGATAAAGCTTAAATTCCAAGTGCCTCCGCGTGGCAAATATAAACAAATCCTGGGAGATGCACTTCCATCTTTCTAAGGGATGGGAGGCAGACAAGCGGTGGGAGGACTCAGAGAAACTGAAGAAGAGACGACCCATAGAGAGGAGAGTACAGTTCTAGGGCCGGTACTGTTTACTCTCGACTGTCAGCAACCAAAACTGAGGTCCCAGGACCTCTCCCACAAAAAGAGCATAGAAGAAACATTTATTGACGGCATTTGCCAAGTTGGGGTCTAGCCCGCTCAAGCTCATCTGGGGCACAAGGCTGCCACTTGGTGGCGGTTATGTGTTGGGACATCATGTGTACATGGCTTTAAGCAAACAGGCATGGGAGCCTCCTCGAAATCCCTTTATACCTAAAAGGCTACGCCAGGAAGCGCCTCTGTTTTGCTTGGCTCAAATCCAGTTGAGATAGCTATAACAACCACATAAAAGTTAAATCATACCTTTTTTTAAAAACTTATATCAATTCTCTGTGGTAAAATAAAGCAAAAATAAGAGCAAATCCACACTTTCCTAGGAAAAGGGAGATGTTACTGACTGCAAGAAAGAGCCAGAGTAGGCAACTTGATCGGGATGCTAAATAACTCCTCTAATATGCATGCTTTCCAGGCAACCAAGGGCCTTTGAAAGAAGCAATCATTAGCCATCAGGGGTATAAATTATCGGAGAAAGAGGCAGAATGTTTGAGCAACTATATGGAAAATGAACCACGAGCTAGGTAAAGGGTACAGGTAGGACATTTACTTGAGTCCTGCACAGTGTCATAAAACCTCCAGAATATGTAATTCTATCTCAGCATAAATGTGTTGATTTGACAGTCTCTGGCACTTTCTCCTCCTCTACCTAGAGATCTCCTCAGCAAGACATTTTACATAATAAATATTTAACCCAAGAAGACATTACCGGATCAATCCCAAATGGGTATGGATTTCCAGAGTACACTCCCGGAATGGCTGGGTCCAGCTGTAAATATGGATTTGTTTCCATTACATATGTGCTACAGTGGGAGAAAGGAAAAATAAGAACAAAACCAATGATCAACCAGAGGTAGGAAAAATATACAATAGTGTCCTTGGTCATGAACTTGTAAGCCAATCAAAGCCTCACTGTTGGTGCAACTCATCCTTTGGCTCATTCAATCATCCCATGAATGGTTACTGTGTGCCAAGTATCGTCCCAGATGCTGAGGCTACAGACATGACCATCCGGCCTCTGAAATGTCGAGTCTCCAAAGGGCTCCTACCCGGGTGGAGTATTGTAAAGAAAAACAGTTATACCACATCAGAAAAGAAGTCGGGCTAGGGATGAAGGAGCATAGAGGAAACAAATCTCAACACAAGGACAAGCCTGGGAAACCTCCTCGGGGAGCACATGAGCTCATCCTGGGGGAATGAACTCGCTTTCACCCATGGACCCTAAATCTCTGTGAAACTTAGCCCTCAAAATTCCATTGAATCCCTTTAAATCAGTCTCCCAACTTTGCCCAGAAGCATGGACGTCAGTGGGTAGGAGTTTCTTACTATCTCTGCAAGACCATTATGGGTATTTGTTTGTTTGTTTGTTTAACAGAGCACACATCTACAGAGGAGCCAAGAAGGAGTAGTGAAATGATGAGGAACAGAGTTCTGGCAACTTTGGCTGGCTACCTAGGAATATACTCCCTCCCTCCTACAACTGAGGCACTGGAGAGTATTGAGTAGCAGCCAGGGAATCAGGTAGCCCGATCATGCTGATCAGGCCCTCCAGATGCAGTAGAAACAACTGGCCCCGACTGGCCATCTCAGACACAGACACCCCCGTGCTAATGGCATGCCTCACGGCAAATGGTTGCACTGAATTAGCAGAGATTTGTTTGTGTGTGGACAAAGGAGAAAGCCACCCCTGAAGGGAGCGAGTTGGCCGCCACAGCAAAGTCACGCTATCTGTTGTTGAATGTAAACAAGTTCACAGAACACCAACGCCAGACAAAGCCACCCTGTGACCGTGCTGGATCCAGACACAAACAAGACCGATCCACAGTCATATCTGATATCAAAATATGGACATACCAAAGCAAGGACAATGTCCAAACCACAAAAATGACCAAAGGTTGCCCTCATCCTCTGGGGAGCCAGACCCTGTAAGCCCTTTCCCACACCCTCTTGCTGAGATGCTCAAGCTCCCCACTGGCACACCACATTCCCTGAGTCAATAACCTCAATTTTGGGGGATGACAGGCAGGCTTCTGGTGGTCTTGGGCTGACAAGTATTGTGACAGTGTCCCTAGTCAATTGTCAGGGAAAGCAAGACCCAAGACCTGGCTTGTGACTCGTGACCAAAATCAGCTTGCTGTGTCCTTTGCCACTCTGATGGATGACGTCAATTTTCGTTTGTCTCACTGTCAATGAGGTCCCACTTCATATAATCAATGCCGGGGCACGTGGCTGAGCGTCCCTCAGACTGGGCTTGGCCTCCAAGAGCCTTGAATTGAGCCAGAGGTCATTTATGTGCATGAAAGAACATCCCAGCCCACATTTGCAGAATCGCAAAAAGCCAGTTGACTCGGACCTCTCCCAATCACACTCCTGGGCAAATCAGATTTCATCTTGGTGGTTTGGTGAAATGATGCTGATTTAACATGTTTCCCAGTCAATCATTTTACTTATGAGTTTAAATCTAAAGAGCAAATCTAAGTAATTTGCCTTTAAATTTATGAAAGCTTTGTTCTCCTAGGCATCTCTTCAGGGTACTAATTGTAAAGCAAAAACAAAAACAAAAACCCTTGTCAATATAGCCATCTGTAATTCTGGAAAATGTTTTATTCATTTTAATTCATTAATTAATTTTATTTATTGTTTGTTTAACAATAAACAAACTGTCCTCTACCACAAGGGACTTGGACCCAGCAGAGAAACCAAAAAGATGCACCGAACCTCCATGACACCGTCACCCGCACTCTTACTGTCCATCCAAGCTGTGGTTGGTGGGCATCGAGAGAGCTCCCAGGTCTCTCTCTTCTGCAGCCATGTCCTCACCAGCTACCCCCCATGCCCATGCCGCCCTACCTGCCTTCCTCACTGCACTGCCCACCAAACACAGGGAACCGCTGTTGCAAAACTAGCCATCCCCTCCTTTGTGTTCGACGTTGAATCAATATGCTCTGAAACCGTCAAAGAAAATGCCCTTCAGATGAGTCTGGGACCTTGAACACAGGGAATCAATCATTTATATATACTTCAACACCCATATCAGCCTTCTCTCCTCAGCCCCTGGATGCCTAATTTCACTGTTTCCAGTTCCCTGACAGAACAAGGCATGCTTCAAAGGCCTCCTTCTCCTCCAGGGAACTTGGCTTCTGTGACTGATACCAAGATGATATCCATTTATACAAACTGATACCCGTTGACATCCGCTCCACCGTTTGCTCTTGCAGTAGTGCTATGCACTCCGTGATATATACTTAATTGAAATTTTAAAATGATTTCCAAGGGGCACCTGGGTGGTTCAGTCATTAAGTGTCTGCCTTCGGCTCAGGTCATGATCCCAGGGTGCTGGGATCGAGCCCTGCATCGGGCTCCCTTCTCGGCGGGAAGCCTGCTTCTCCCTCTCCCACGCCCCCTGCTTGTGTTCCCTCTCTCGCTGTGTCTCTCTCTGTCAAATAAATAAATAAAATCTTTAAAAAATTAAAAAAAAAACTATTTCCATGTATTACAGTTGTTGGTGTTGTCTCAAGTGTTGTCTCAAGTGCTTCTAGTCCAGTTACTGAGGGACTGGTTTGAGGTCTCTCGCTCAGGAGATAAAATGGAATTCTTTGTTGGATCTGTGGGCACACCTCTGAGCAGACTTCCTGGCCATGAAATCCACCACTGAGGCCCCCCCGGACCCATGTCTGTCTGTAAACTTACTTCCATGTGCCATTTCTGAACATGGGTCTGACACTCCAAGAAGAGCCGAAGATGTTGAAAGACTTGGAGAAGCAGTCGTTGTAAATCAAGCCCGTGTAGATGGAAAAGATGCCCATGAGGAGAATCAGATAGCGTCCATGGAAGAAGGTGTTCCAGATCTGGCCTCAGGAAGACAGAGGGGATGACCGTCAGTGGGCTCAGCACCAGACCCCGGGGTGGGAAGTAGGTTATGGGATGTCTCCAGCACCACTGGGATAGCCCCAGCAAGGCACACAGGCCCTATACAGAGAGGCCATGGGACGAGGCAACATCAAAGTGATCCAAATAGAGCACACGCACATCATTATTTTCCTGAGCTTATATCCGTGAATCAGAAGAGTCCTAGACCAGAAATTGTTACTATGGAAGTAAAACCATATAAGCCCCATATTCTTGAAGTGATCATTGGTTAGAAAACATAACTGTAGCACAAACTGAGGCCTCACATGTCAGGGAAGGGACGTGACGGTGGGCAGGTGTTGTCTCAAGTGCTTCTAGAAGACAAGCACGGAGCTGGACTCCCACGGCGGCTCAATTTCATTGCAAGTCAAATCTACACTCATTTTGGGTCTTGTCATTATAAAATCGAGTCTCTGTCTAAGCACATCCACTAAGGAGAGTCAAGTGTTTCTATAATACTGAATGATGTGTGTCGATCATTCTCAGACCTGCTCAAGTTTAGCTTTGAGACTTGGAATATTTATTATAGGCAACTACAGCTGTTAAAGTGGCTGGTCATGCAAAACTATATTGGCCAGGAGTGGACTTTCCCACTAACTTTGCTGATGATTAACCCACTGTGACATCATTGAACTAGCTCTAGTTAAGACAACTTGTAATAAAAGTTTGCAGATATTCTTAAAATGCAGAACACAGTGAAAGGCACGTTTCTGGCTTATAAAATGTATTAAAATGAACATAAAGTGACCCTAACTAATTAACTTTGAAACACTGCAGACTCTTGAGTTGTCTCAACCTTCACAACACCGAGAAGGCACTTCACAGAAGGTGTGGACACTTCAAGTGTCAAGGTGAAGACACAATATTCAGGGTTTCTTGGTGTTTCATAAGAACAATGGTCATGGGCTGATTGTGGGAGAAGGGCTCTGCCATGAAAAAATATTTGTGATTTTTTTTTTTTTGAGAGAGAGAGAGAGAGCATGCGTGCTGGGGAGGGGCAGAGGGAGGGAGAGAGAGAGAATCCCAAGCAGACTCCCCGCTGAGCACAGAGCCCGATGTGGGGCTTGATCCCAGGCCCCTGGGATCATGACCTGAGCTGAAGTCAAGAGTCAGATGCCCAACCAGCTGTGCCACCCAGGTGCCCTGGAAAAAATATTTGTGATATTTTAAGTGGAAAAAAAAGAAGTCCACAAATTAAAATGCACTATTTGATCCCAGTTTTTTAAAAATTGTTTATTTGTGTATAAGCACACAAAAAAATGGAAAGATACATAAAAACATTAGCTGTGATTTTTCTCTAGGAAGTTAAATTGTATTTTCCCCATTTTTAAAATAAACATATATAGTCTTTATAACCAAAGGGGGAAAAAATCAATAGTGGGGAAAAAAACTTAAAAATAAGATCAATGCCTGGTCAAGCAATGTACAAAAAAAAAAAAAAAAAAAAAAAAAAAAAAAAAAAAAAACCCAACCCCCGTAAAAAAAAATAAAAAAAAAAAAAAAAAAAAAAAAATGCTGAAAGGAACCGCACCGCACCAGCCAAAGCATTTGAGCTTTGGGCAGGAATTTCTGTGTTGAATTTTGGCCCTCTTTTACTCTCTATCTTTTGCTTTTCATAAAACAGGTTGTTTCTATGGTGAAAACAACATACACATTTTTCATACTCTACTTACAACCTCAAGGAAATGAGGCAAGATATTCGGTGGACACCCACCTCATTGTTCATCTTCTGGGAGAGCAAGCGTCTCTCATTAAGGACCATCCAAAGCGCTGCCAGTAGCATCACGATGCCATGACCACAGTCTCCAAACATCACAGCAAACAGGAAGGGGAAAGTGATGATGGTATAGGGAGCTGTAGAGATGAGACCCCCAACAGCCTGAGTCCTTCCCACAGCCACTGGGCCCCCATCAAAGATCTGTCGATCATGTTCCATGCCCCACAAGCTGGTTGCCTTGTATCTTCCTAATTCTGTCTTCCCTCCCCATCCCCAACCCCAACACATGCTTAGCTCCCACATACATCAGCTCATCAATAAATAAGCATTATTACTCCCCATTTACAAATGAGCTGAGTTTTGAAGCAGTTAAGTGACTTGCCCAAAATCACAAAATTTAATGGGTTTTAAAACCACTTTTCGGGGGCGGGGTGGCGCCTGGATGGCTCAGTTGGTTAAGCGTCCAACTCTTGATTTCAGCTCAGGTCATGATCTCAGGATGCTGAGATCAAGCCTGGAGTCCAGCTGGGCATGGAGCCTGCTTAAGATTCTCTCTCTCCCCTCTGTCCCTCCTCCCCGCTCTAAAAAAATAAATAACAATAAAACCAGTTTTCTATCTCTGAGTGTTTTGTATACTCTTCCACTACCACTTTTTGCCTGTTTCTCCAGCGTTCACATGCACCCGGCACCTCCAGCAGTTACTCACAGGACACCCAACCTATGGGGCCCCTGCATTACAGGTCCCAAGATTAGGACGCAGGCTGGACAAAAGCACTGTGGACGACATGACTGGAGGGCAGCTGGTCTACCCCTTTGTTTTTACAAACCAGGCAACCATATCCCACAGCTTATGGCACTAAGAATCCAGTCTTCTGACTCCAAGTCCTGTGTGTTCTCATCTCACCCACAAAACAGCTCCAGCTCTATGAAGATGTTGAGAGATGACCCTCACTGAATTGGTAAGGGAAAAAGAACTGAATTTAACTACCTAATAGCTATGGTTTAAGAGAGAACAGGTGAAATCTTGACAAAGAACAAATCTTTCACTAATCGCCATTTATGCAAGACAAAGCAGGGCATCAGGAAGCCAAACAAGATTTTAGGGATCTCACAGTTTTCAACAATTCACCTCCTCTGCCACCCAAGGGGTCAATCTTACCCACTTTTCATTTTCGAGCTTCCCCATTATTCAATGCATCAGACCCATACAGACCTGGGTTCATTTCCCGGTAACTGCCCACACCATAGGCATCTACAATATTCTGAAAGCCGGCTGTGAATTTATTGGTCCTGTTAAATGTGGGAGGAGCTGCTTTAGATTGCACTGCAGTCAGGATGGGGACCATGGAGGAGCCACTGAGTTCCTACAAAAAACATTGACAAAAAATGCAAGGAAGAGAGCTTTGAGCTGGGGGTCAGCACGTGGATCACAGTCCAATTCGCACCATCCCTTAAAGGTAAACTTGGAACAATTTCTTGACTTCTGTGAGACCCATGACCACATCTGTAAAAGTGAATACCTTCCTAATACTTATCTAGTTTATCCCAAAGGAAAGTCATCAAGCGGGTAGAGTTCTGGCCATTTCCATTCTCCTGCTCCTGCAAATGCACCTGTTGCACCCAGTTCTGGGTCCTCTATTTTCCTTTCTCTCTACTCACTCCCTCAAGAGTTTACCCACTTTCCTCATTCTGCCCCCTTCTTTCAAACGGCCCTGACCCTCCTCCGAATTGCAATTCTGTTTTAACTGTCTGCCTGGGCTTTCAAACTCTCATGTCTCAGCAACCCCACAAAATCCGGGAGCCTAAAACCAAACTCATCAACTTGCCCCAAAGCCAGGTCCTCCTTTGGCCTCGCTTCAGCAGACTCCATTCTCCAGATCCCTGAACCATTGGAATCATCAGACGTGTCCCTTTTCCTGGTTTAATCAATCAACCAATCACCAAATCTTCCTGCTTGTCCCTTTCAAATCCTCTTCTTGCTGCCATCCCCGAGCCTCGCTGTCGTCTTCTGTCTCTTTCCCTTCCGTTTATCCTACACTCCAGACAGTGAAATCCTTTGATAAAATAAAACCAAGAGGACTGCTCCAGTCATGCTACCCTCCTACTCAAAGGCTTCTTATTACCTAAAGAGTGAAATCAAAACTCTTCAGTCTCGCAATCAAGACTTCTTTCCAATATTGACTTAGACTCCTTTCACACCTTCATCCCCAGTACTTCTGCATGGAAACCAGCCGACTCCACACCAGACATCTTACCCAGGTATGAACCATTCCCCAGGCTCACCCTCCAGGAACCCTCTGGTGGTTCCAAAGTCTAACAGCACTTACCACCTGCACACTCAGTGGGACCTAGCACCCGCCAAATGACTGCTCATCAATGCTTCTAACAACACGAGGTCAGTATCAACTACCCATCAAGCCCCACTTGACTAATGAGGAAATGAAGGTCCAGAGAGGTTAAGTAACTTCCCCTACGTCACACAGCAAGTGGAGGAGTTCCTTACTCTGTTGGTATATATCTTTATGTGATCATGATCTCCTTAAGAACAAGGACTGTGGTGTTTTGTTTTGTTTTTAACATGGGCCCCAGCACCTGACACAACACCTGGCATAGAGTATTTTTTGCTTGTTCATGATGATGATAATGAAAGCTAACCCCTTACACTTCTCCCCTCGCCTCCTACCCACACAGGGCCTTCTACTCCTATCTGGAAAAGACTTTTGTCATTTCAGAAGGCTGAAGAAACTGTAGAAACAGTCAGAAGTGGCCTTGTAGAAGTTTGACTCCTTTGTGATGACAGGATGACCCCGTTTAGTTCAGATCCCGGCATCAGGACACCTCCCCGATAGCTCCGCAGGCTCGTCCACACTGCACTGAAATGTTTCTAAAATGCAAACTGGATCATGTCACTCTGGCATGAGAATAAAATCAGACCCCTTACACCACTAAAAGTCCTTCAGGACCACGCTGCAGCCTCTCCCTGATCTTCCTCCCATTCTTTAAACTGGCTGCACCCTCTCTCCAGCCACTGGCCTTCAGGTGGGCCTGCACCACACGCCCCTCCGCACCACCAGTCACCTGCTCACTGACCCCTTCCATGGTTCAGCTCAGGCGTCACTTCCTCCAGGAAGCAACCCCATCCTTCCCATTCTGAGTGACAAGCTCTTCTTAAGTGCCCTGTTAGGTCGTTACTGGACTATCACATGGGGACCTTCAAATCCTGCCTCCTGGCTCCAGGACCGTGGTCAAGTCACTTCTCCCTTCTGTGCCTCAGTTTCCTCATTGTACAAGGGGGATAAAGATAGGCCCTACCTCCTAGTCCAATCCCACCTCAAGGCCTTTCTTTCAGACCCTCTGGCCTGAAAGCTCCCCCTCCTACCCCGCCGCCCGCTCCTGTTCCAAGCCACCTGCTCAGAGGGGCCTTCTCCAGTCACAGCCCTAGAATGGTATCAAAAGACCTAAAATTCCAAGCGCTGCCTTGACACCTTTGAGTCTCACAGGGCCCCAAAGGCCAAACCGTGAGTTCCTCTGCCCTCACCAGATTTGCACCCACGAAGCAGGAAAGGCTCCCCACCCAGCTAGCTCCCCCATGGGCCAGACCACCCTGCCTAGTCTTCCGCCTCCCTGCCACCCCAGAAGTGTATTCAAACGAGCTCCTCTCGTCCTCCCATGGAAACCAGGGCCCCTTCCTCTTGTGGGAGTCTGCGCCCATAGCCCCGGTTGGCTCATTCTGCCCCCAAGTGCGAGCCCCAAGTACCACCTCCATGTGGCCCCGTGCGGCCCCGTGTGTGTGTCCTTTTCCCCCGGGCTCTGAGCATATGTGACTAGCCAACTGCTGTCTGTGTCATGTGTCCGCAGGCAGCTGTTGTGTGTCTGGCCGTCTGGTACCGTTCCTTTCTTCACCAGTAGGGTGACTAGGTGATCAGAACAAAGGCTCCCTCCTCACCCCATCCCCCCCCATCCCTCACTTTACTGCCTGCTCACCACCATCGTTGCCTGAAATCACATTAGTGATGGACATGCTTACTATATGTCTTCCTTTCTAGAAAGTCTGTCAGGAGCGGGGCTTTGCTCTGTCCGCATAGCCCCAGATCTGTTCCTGGGGCCCAGTGGCCATCTGGAGAGGTGAAGGACGAAGGCTGTGACCTTAACTAGGGTACAGAGTGCTGAGCACAGCTGTGGGCACACAGTGAGCACAGGTGTCTGGTTATTTGTCTTTCCAGCCAGGTGTGACCTCCGTGAGGGAAAGGACAGACCTACAGTCACACTGACTGTGGTATCTACCATCACAACCAGCAGAGTGATTGGTACAGCAGTGCTCAACATGCACTTGCTGAAGATCAAAGAAATGTTGAATATTTGCCAGAAAAGGAGTTTCTAATAGGTGCCCGGCCCTGGATTAAGAACTGAAGATATGAAGATGAGGGAGACAGTCCTTGGGAAGTTCATGTGACGTGGGAGGCTGACAGAGGCGCCTGACGGAGGCACTGCTGAGGCTGGAGGTGAGGCACCCGTCCCCTCCCCAGTTCCATCTGCCACTCACCATGCCTTGCTCCAATGCCCTCTTGATGCGCCCAGTGTCTGCCACCGGGAACCAGATCTCAGCGATGGCACACTGCTGGGTGACATCAATGTTGCACATGTTCAGGATGTGGTAAATGGCCTTCATCTTCTGCACTTTAATGGCCCAGGAATGCCAGTTGGCAGCGGCTTCTTGCAGGAGGCGCTGACGGTGAGACTCTGTTTGTGTGATGACCTGGATGGGGAACAGCACACAGAGAAACAAGGAACACTCATGCAGGGCTCTGGCAATGTGGCAAAATGGAAGTCCGTCAGCCATCATGGCTTCTCCGGCTCTGGGCTCCCTCCTCTGGCCTGCAGTCCTTACCCGCCATCAACCCTCATGAGCAGTTTATCTTCCCTTGTAGAGGTTAAAACCCTTGGGCAAAGATTGTATCTTCCCTTTCTTCTAAATTCCTTAGAGTACTATTGTCATGGATTGAACTGTGTCCCCAAAAAAAGATATGTTGAAGTCCTAACCCCTGGTAACCATGAATGTGACCTTATTTGGAAACACGGTCTTTGCCGATGTAATTAACATGAGGTCATGCTGGAGTAGGGTGGGCCCTAACCAATATGACTGGTGTCCTTATAAGAAATTTGGACAGGGCGCCTGGGTGGCTCAGTTGGTTGAGCGACTGCCTTCGGCTCGGGTCATGATCCTGGAGTCCCGGGATCAAGTCCCGCGTCGGGCTCCCTGCTCGGCGAAGGGTCTGCTTCTCTCTCTGACCCTCTTCCCTCTCATGCTCTCTACCATTCTCTCTCTCTCTCAATAAATAAATAAAAATCTTTAAATAAAAAAAAAAGAAATTTGGACATCTAGGTGCTCCTGGGTGGCTCAGCCAGTTGAGCGTCCAACTCTTGGTCTCAGCTCCGGTCTTGATCTCAGGGTGTGAGTTGGACCCCCATATTGGGCTCCATGCCCAGCGTGGAGCCTACTTTAAAAAAAAAAAAAAAAAGGTAGAAATTTGGACAACTAGAGACATAGGGAAGAATGTCTTGTGTGATTTAGGCAGAGACTGGAGTGAAATATCTACAAACCAAGGAACACCAAGGACTGCCGACAACCACCAGACGCTAGGGAGATGTCTTACTCTATTCAGGCCATGATCACACAACACCATGCTGGGTGGCTTAAACAACAAAAATTAATTGTTCACAGTTCTGGAAGCTGGAAGTCTGAGATCAGTGTCTACCATCATGGTTAGGTAAGGATTTTCTTTTGGGTTGCCGACTTCAAATTCTATCCTCACATGGTAGAAGGGGCAAGCAAGCTCTCTGGGGCCTCTTTTATAAGGGCACTAATCTCATTCAGGAGAGCTCCACCCTCATGACCTAATCACTTCCCAAAGGCCCCACCTCTGAATACCATCACCTCGGACATGAGGTTTTCAACATATGAGTTTGGGGGTGGGGGCGACACACATTAGGACCATAGCAGAACAGGCGAGGAAGGATCCCTTCCTAAAGCCTTCAGAGGAAGCGTGGCTCTGCTGATCCCTGGATTTCAGACTTCGAGCCTCCAGAACTGTGAGAAAATAAATTTCTGTGTTTTAAGCCCCGCCCCGCCCCAGCTTATGGTCATTTGTTATAGCAGCCCTGGGAAAGGAATACATCTATCAAAATGCTTTACATATATAATGTCTTCAATAAATGACCAGTGAATTAATGAAGGAGGGAATGGACAATTTTGCCCACAGAGAATTTATTTAATGGGATTCGTTTTTGTTCAGGGTTACCAGCGTATACCCGTCTCAGCAACCTTCACCAGTGGCTCCCCAGGTCAGACTAAATAGGAACATAAGTTTGGAATAACTTCTTTTCCTCATGAAGCTTTCATAAAATGTAGTATGGAATGTTTGGGGAAAGAAGTTCAAGGGCAATTGCGTCAGGGAACCACAATCTCCTTGACAAGTGACAAGGAAGGAACAGAGGGACTTAAAGAAATTAAGCACAGATTTTTCTGGGAAGGCAAAGATGTCTGTTATTCTAAGCGTTTCGTAACACAAACACACTCACATACCACATTTCTAAAGATACTCCCTGAGGATCCAGAATTGTGCTAACAACGGATTCAGCAGCCATGAAAATTTTAAATTTAATTAAAATTAATTAAAAATAAAAACTCAGGGGGCATCTGGGTGGCCCAGTCAGTTAAACATCCGACTCTTGATTTTGGCTCAGGTCATGATCTCAGGGTTGTGAGATCGAGCCCTGCATCAGGCTCTGCACTGGGCATGGAGCCTGCTTAAGATTTTCTTTCTCCCTCTCCCTTTGCCCCTGCCCACCTCTAAAAAAAAATTAAAAATAAAATAAAATAAAAATTCAGTTCCTCAGTTGCACTAGCCATGTTTCAAGGGCTCTGTGGTTACGTGCGGCTCATGGCCACAGCATGGCGCTCGCAGGTTAGATAACACGCCCACAGAAAATTCTACAGGACAGGGCTCATCTGGAAGAAGCAATGTGATGCAGGCCCAGCTGCTTTTAGTGGATTCCTTTCAAAGCTTATTGAAGCAAGTGTTCCAATCATACGAGTGTCAAGTGCCACCCTGGATGACAACTCACTTTACAAGAGGCTATGAATTTGGGGTGTGTCACATGGTGAAACTAGACTCACCTGCTGTTTTTACGGAAGTAATTGGTCTGCTCAAACAACTGCGTGAGTCAATGGAAAAAAAATCAGTCAGACTGCTTGTTCAACCTAACTGGCTAGTTAGTTGTATCCCAGATGTGGCCCAGGCCGGGCTCACAATAAAGGGCTCCTTCTATCCGACTGCGCTGGCCACCCAAAAGCTGACTGGGGCTCAAGCCAGGCACAGCCGTACTGATACTCAGAATCACCACCTCCAGCTTACTGGACACCGTGTTCTTATCATGAAACCTTCCGTCATGATCGCTGGGAGAGCGCAGTTAACATTCCAGCTGGCCCAAAAGCGAGGGCACTGGGTCACAGGACTTAAATGGAAATGGCAAAAGTAGCCCCTTGGCAGGCCCCAGTCAGGTCACGCGCCTCAACTCCTCACTCACGGTGATTAAATCTTCCAGCTTCACATTGACGTCGGCCAGCATCTCTCTGCGCTCCGCCACAGGCTCTGGGCAGGGGTATATGGTGGCTCGAAACCTGTGTTTCAGACATTCCAAAGGTCACAGGGGGTTACCACGGAAAAGCCTGCCAAAACGTCCCCTTCTGCCAAAGCCATCACTTGCTGACTTTGGTTAGATGACCACCGTTTTCTAGAATAACTGTCTCGGGGCGCCTGGGTGGCTCAGTCGTTAAGCGTCTGCCTTCGGCTCAGGTCATGATCCCGGGGTCCTGGAATCGAGCCCCGCATCGGGCTCCCTGCTCGGCGGGAAGCCTGCTTCTCCCTCTCCCGCTCCCCCTGCTTGTGTTCCCTCTCTCGCTCTGTCTCTCTCTGTCAAATAGATAAATAAAATCTAAAAAAAAAAAAAAAAAACAGAGTAACTGTCTCTTTGGCAGTCAGAAAATGAGTCCCAGTTCTAAGGGTTCTTGATGCATCGCTCGGCACTATTTAAATTCAAGCTATGATTCTATTCAATGAATGAGCTTCACTCAAACCAAAGAACCTGTGAGCTTTTAGGTAAATAAGACCACAGCTCGACTTGTCTCTTCTCCCTAGAATCGACTAAGGTAATAACATCTTTCTCTACTGAATAATTTCTGCTGGAGTAAATCGATTCTGTAAAATCAGAAACAGCTCAGCATGAGGTGTGCCTGCTTCTTAGCGGCTGATAAAGGGTGTGAGAAGGAACACAGACATGGGTATGATGCCTCCTTTCCGTTACCTTGACATTTGCTTACTCAAGTCCTCTCTGCTCCTATTCCCACAGCTCTTAAAGATAAGTCGCATTTTTAACACTATCTAGTCAAATGCAGGAAAGTTGTTCTAAAATCCTAAGGGACCTCAAAGAAACCTCCAGTCAAGAGTACTTTGTCTCACACACCTCTTCACCTAATCGTGACCCAAATCACTGATGAAAGAGCCATGAACAGCCTCTTACCCTTCACAGATCTTCTTGATTTTCTGTCTGAGTTGCTCTCCTTGATAAAATATGATGAATATGTTCTTTTTAATTTCTTCTTTCTGGAAAATCACAACAGTAAAAACTATATATTTTTATATATATACAAAACTCTGTTACATAATATATTATCCATAATAATATAAATAATTTATATAATAATACATATAATATATATAATTTTATATATATAATTTTTTTCTTTTTGGTTATAATGTAATTTTTAGATTGAAAAAAATTTTTTTAATTATAACTGGTGGGGTGCCTGGCTGGCTCACTTGGTAGAGCATGTGACTCTTGACCTCAGGTTACAAGTTCAAGCCCCACGTTGGATAGAGAGATTACTTAAAAACAAAATCTTAAAAAAAAAAATTACAGCTGGAAAATTTCAGCTTCACCCAGTTGATCTAAGTTCGTAATTCTTTATGGTTGAGGGCAAGGCCACTGAGAGAGGCCAAGGCAGCCTTAAAGCAATAACCCTAATAGTGGTTATACTAGCCAGACCACAGCTGAGCCTGTATTCAGCTCTAATGCTATACTTAAGAGGTGGGCTCATAAACAAGAAACCATGCAAAAGAGAGGAACCAGGTTATTATAAGGCTTAAAATGAAAGTAGCAGACCTAGCTCACCAGAGTTAACTCACATACAATATTTACATTTCAAGGGTGAGTGGGTGTTTGATGTTTAACAAAGGTAAAGCCATGTCTAATTTTTGACTCACTGTATGTCCATAGGAACACTGATTAAAATGCAATTCTCAAGTCCAAGTTTGACAATTCACAAGAAAGAATATATATTTCACAAGCATATATGAAAGCGCTCAAAGAAACGTGCTGTTTTACTCTTACTTAATTTGGGGCAGAGGGGGGTAAAGGCAAAATAATGAAATCCATCTTTGGAAAAGTTATAACCAATCCAGTACACTCACCATATGCCACTCAGGGCTCTGGAATCAGGTATGGCCCCACTGAAAAGCCCTTTGTCAGGAGCCACCAAGTGTCATGAAAATGCCCACCCCCTTTAAGCCAGTAATCCTATTTCCTTGAATTTATATCAAGGAAGTAATTCAAAAGGAAAGAACAATGACATACATAAAGATGGTCATCATAGTGTCTGTGTTCTGGAGAAAAACTGGAAACAAAGTCCATAAGTAGATAGATAATGTCATATCGACTCACTGGAAATCTTCCACATCAATTGAAAAGAAGATAAAAATGAATCGTCATTTTGGCAACTGCTCATGGGAGCCGGGGAGGGCTATTTAGGATTTGGGGTGGCTACCTGCTTTACATTATCTCCAAAGGCTCCTTTGTCCAAGGACCCCTGGTCCTTTTCTGAATCTCTCAGGTCCTCTTGTCCCTGGATCCACCAGAACCAGGAATCTACTCTGATCTCATGTCATCTGCTCAGTGACCTTCGATATCAACAGGTGAACGTCATCTTTTCCCAGATGCCTACTTTATACTCTATCACCATAACTATTACATGTCAAAATATGGTTGTGGAAAGTGATGATTCAACATCAATTTTTAAAAATAATATCTATAAGGGACACATACTGATATAGGGGGAAATTGTATTCTCCAAGATCAAGAGAAGACCAAAAAAAAAAAAAAAAAGATTCCATGTTTATTACTACAACCCGCTTGTGGCTTATGGACGAGAGAAAAAGAGCACAAGAGAAAAAATAAGCTTTCTTCCTATTTTAAATCTCACTTAACTCTGAAATTATTTTCCATAAAATAAAACCTCAAATTAATTTTTTTTCACCTCTACTTTGGAAAAGATTAGGACACTTAGAAATAGGCCCAACTTGGAATTAAAAAGTAAGCGGCTTGAAATGCTGACTGGATGGGCAGAGAAGGCCAACATTGCAGAATTAATAGCAGTAAGTGCGGGGTACTCAGTGAAGAGTACTCTCAAAATCCTTGTTGGAAGCGCTCGGTCCACTGACTCCGAGCATCAGCAAGCATCAACATAGCTGGTCAAAAAGGCAGAACTGGGGGGGCGCCTGGGTGGCTCAGTCACTAAGCGTTTGCCGTCGGCTCAGGTCATGGTCCCGGGGTCCTGGGATCGAGCCCCGCATCAGGCTCCCTGCTCGGCAGGAAGCCTGCTTCTCCCTCTCCCACTCCCCTGCTTGTGTTCCCTCTCTCACTGTGTCTCTCTCTGTCAAATAAATCAATAAAATCTTAAAAAAAAAAAAATGCAGAATCGGAGGCCCTGCCCTCGTCCCACTGCTTTAGAATCCGCATTTTAACAAGATGCCCAGATCATTCCCGCTCCGGTGCACACTGAAACTTGGGGCTCACTGACCCAAGCCCAGTTCTTAGCTCCTGGTGAGGAAGACCCAGCTGCTGCCTCGCGAGGCAGGAGCACTGCTAAGTCTCCAGGACCCGGTATAGCTGGGTCTTGGAAGCATGAATAGTTGTGGGGTGTTAACAATCAGTCCTTGAATTGACCTTTTGTAGGATTTTTTTTTTTTTTTAACAAAGGCGGGGAGAGAAAAGCCAGGAGAAAGAAAGGCAGTGGCCATTAACTTCACAGAATTGAAGACCCACAGCTTCAGAGAACTGCCCCCCCACCCCGCCCCCTGCAAGGGCCCCAGGAAACTGAGGACAGAGTTCCCCACAGCCCACGACACCCACCGTGACAGGATCCTCCAGAGTCGTGTCCACCTCGCTGAACTTCAGGTAGATGTTCCCTCGGCACACTCGCCACAGCAGCCTCTCAAAGGAAGCCATCCGCTCCCTGTTGATCACCCCGGCCGTGAACCTGGCAGTCAGATGGGGAGAAGTTGCTGAGGCCCAGGGAGCGGGGTGCAGGGAGAAGGCCCCGTAGGACCTGAGGACGTGCCAGCACGAGATGGAGGCCTACTTCCCTCTGAGCACGAGGAGGATTCACTAGCTGTCAGGGGTCCGAGGCCACTCAGCAGCCCAGCCCCTACTTGCCCCAAGTCCCTTTTGGCCTCCTGTTTCCTCTGATGTATTGAGACTTCCTTAGTCACCCCAATACTACATAGTCCCTTACTTGCAATTAGAAATATGATAGCCCGTCCATTACGGCATCGTAGCTAAAGAAAGAAGGAACTGTTCAACTGCTCAACAATGGGCTCTATGCATTTTTCTAAATACTGCGCTAGAAGTGAAACAGACATACTCATTTACATTTATCTCTGCTTTTAAAATCATCCCTGTGTCTAGATAATTTCCAATTGAAATTTTTTCTATTAACTTTAAAATGGTTGCTTTCATTGGTCTTTCACTTTAAATGTGCGCTGAGCCTTTATTACCTCCTGATCAAATGTTTTCAATGCATACACATCAATTTTACTTGGACACTGAATGAAATCCCACTGTTTTGAATCACCGTGCATTTTAATACCACATTACTCCTTCTTGTGGATGATGTGATCATATGACTACCTCATTGCTAACTGCACTTCAAACAGCAAATTTCAAATCTATTTTATTGCCAAAGCAGTATTTCCAAGATGAGGAAGCAGGAAACAGTTGAGAACAGGCATCTAAACAATTCTTGCCACATCCTCCCCCTGTAGGAACAACATAAACATTGTATTCTTCAGGCTCCCAGAATGCTAGTTTCACCATTAACAAGAAGGTAACACTACCTTCCACTCCACCAACCTGAAGAGGTTACTCTTGGGTTTAATACAGTGTGGAGGTCTATATTCATGTGAAATAGCCCTCATTCCAGTGTCTGGTTCATTCATCCATTCATTCACTCACTCACTCAGACCCTCTGGGGAATCTATCACATTCCAGGCACTGAACTGTGGACCAGAAACCCATCTACATGTAACTTTCAGAGCACAGTTACACTAACCCCAGTTTTCCAGTCACACAGGCAGGGGTCGCTCTTAACTCCAGGAGACCCGAAGTGTCTTCCATAAAGAAATCATCAGCGAGGTTGGTTTCCGTCTGAAAGTCAAAGAACTACTGCTTTCTCTTAAATGTATTTAGGCAAACTTCAAAGCTCCCTCGACCTCAAAGGTTTGTCTATTTTTAACAAAACTTTTATTTTCCACAAATAGTTAAGAGAATTCAAAAAGTCGAGTGCTCCTTGCCAGATCAAAAACTTCCCCCAGGGTGCCTGGGTGGCTCAGCTGGTTAAGCGACTGCCTTCGGCTCAGGTCATGATCCTGGAGTCCCAGGATCGAGTCCCACATGGGGCTCCCTGCTCAGCAGGGAGTCTGCTTCTCCCTCTGACCTTCTTCCCTCTCGTGCTCTCTCTCATTCTCTCTCTCTCAAATAAATAAATAAAATCTTAAAAAAAAAAAAACTTCCCCCAGTCTTTTACTACCGAAATCCCAAATCTGCCCAAACTCACTGTTGTGCTTTGTTCCCACTTCCATCTGTGTGTTTAGGGCACATACTTTCCAAACAGCATCATGATATGCTTGTGTTTAGTTCAAATTGGCACCGTTTCCCCCCGAATACCCTCCCCCGTCACTAATGACCTCGGCATGGGGCAGAAACAAGCATGATTTATGCATATTCCAAACCAGCCAGTTTTCAAAATGGAAACTTGAGGATCTGGGGGAAAGGTCCCTTTAATAAAGAGTCCCCAGATAACAACCTCAAAGAAATCTTGGGTTTTCTTCAGCAGATGTTTGAGTTCAGTCAGTTCTAGGAAGCTTTTCTTCAAAGCCTGCTGGTTCTGGTTGGCTTCCTGTAATTCTCCTTCCAGTTTTTCTAGAAGAGTCTATGAAGAATGGAAAAAGAAGGGAAAGTAGGCAGACAGTGCTGTGATATTTACTGTACATTAACACACTACAAATAACTACAAATAACTAAATATCAAAGAAGAATTCAGTGTATCATAATGTAGCCAGAAGTTGAGTGGCATGTTCAGTCCAACTCAAAATGACTGTAGAGCTATAAACTAGATCCATTTTCATCAAATAGGATTAGAAAACACTCTGCAGGGATGGAAATTAGCTTCCTGAAGAAGCCAAGGCATTTCAACAAATTGCATGTCTCTCCCCCATTTAAAACACGAGAAAAGGGAAGCTGGAGTGAATTTACATGTTGAGAATTCCTTCTGCCCCAAACATACTGCAATGATGAACTAGAACAAGAGGAATCGCTAGTTCTGGGTTGGAATCTGGAGAACCAGGTACAAACAAGTAAAAAAGGCTATATGGGGAACTGTGAGCACAACACGCAAGAAGACAAAACAAAGAAAAAACAATCTTCCTTCCAAAATGAGCATACAAAATGAGTAAGTCTCAAGAAGAAATCTAATGATAAGAAAAATCAGGGGCACCTGGGTGGCTCAGTCGTTAAGCGTCTGCCTTCAGCTCAGGTCATGATCCCAGGGTCCTGGGATCGAGCCCCGCATCGGGCTCCCTGCTCAGCAGCGGGGAAATCTGCTTCTCCCTCCCCCACTCCCCCTGCTTGTGTTCCCTCTCTCACTGTGTCTCTCTCTGTCAAATAAATCAATAAAATCTTTTTTAAAATTTAAAAAAAAAGAAAAAAAATCACCAACAAAATCAACAATCAGAACACAAATTCACATTGGGTGAAATTATTTTTATGGAAAAAGAGTTTAAGGCTTCTTTTAGAATGCTCAAAGAGATAAGTGAAGGCATTGCTTACACACACACACACACACACACACACACACACACACACACCAAAAAATTATTAAACCAACGTGTCCTAAAATGAAAGAAAAGGTAAATATAAAACGGGAACAATTAAGAAATCTTGGAAATGTAAAATATAGGTATTGAAATTCAAAATCTAATAGGTGAAGATCAGCTCTTTATTGGACACAATTCATGAATGCACTACTAAGATTTGGTATAGAATGAAAGCTCATTTCTCATTTATCCAAATGTCCACCCACAGTAGAATGGATAAAGCTCCTAAAGTATGGTACATGCAATAAAAGAAACACTACCCATCAGTGAAAACAAATTAATTTCAAAAACATGAAACAATACGGTGTCTTAAAAAATAAAATGACGTAAGAAAACAGCAAGTTGCAAAAGAAGAAACATGATTCCATTTATATAAAGCTAAAATGGGCAAAGCTATTTAAAAGAGTAAATGCTATTTAAAAGAGTAAATATGTGATAAAACTATGCTATTTAAAAGAGTAAATATGTGATAAAACAATGAAGAAACGAGGAAAAGAAAAATACAAAATTCAGGACAGGATTATCTCAAGGGAGGAGGGGAAGGACGGGGGGCACACAGAAGGCTTTTAAGAGCATCACTGTGGTCATCTTTTATGTCATACAGGGTGATGGTACTTGGTGTTTGCTATATCATTATTCTTTCTACCTTACACATATTTTCTAAAAATTCTACTGTATCAATTCAGTATTTAACAAAAACAATTGCCAGTAAATCAGCAACCACAATATCTAAAAATGGATTAAGATCACCTATTAAAAAACAGAGATTATCGGGCGCCTGGGTGGCTCAGTCGTTAAGCGTCTGCCTTCGGCTCAGGTCATGATCCCGGCGTCCTGGGATCAAGCCCCACATCGGGCTCCCTGCTCAGCAGAAGCCTGCTTCTCCCTCTCCCACTCCCCCTGCTTGTGTTCCCTCTCTCGCTGTGTCTCTCTCTATCAAATAAATAAATAAAATCTTAAAAAAAAAAACAGAGATTATCATGCTAGATTTCTTTTAATCTACCTGAGGGACACCCTTACCAAAAGATTTAAAAAATAAACAGTAAAACAAAGATATCCATGCAAATATTAGTTACCTTCCGCCACCACCCTCAAAAGGATATTAGTATCAGACAAAATTGAATTAATAACATTTCTTATGATGGAAAATTTTACATATGTTAGATGGACAGAACTGCACCATGAACCCCACATACATATCAACCAACTTCAATTGCATCCCATGCCCTCCCCTCCCAGAGATAATCACTACCCTAAATTTTGAACACTAACTATAGTGGCACAAAGGTGGGGGAAAAAAATGAAATCCCCATTTCTTAACCATTTGCTCTATCCACTTAATGATTCTGCTAAAAATAATGCCACTTTTAAAAATATTTTGGAGAATCATGCATCATTTAAGAAACAGTTTACAAATGATAGTAAATGCAAATAGAAAATTATAATGTAGACTATGGACATGTAATTACATAAAAATATAGCTGATAAGGATAAAACCTGAAAATAGAAAAGGCAGGTTTTGCTGAGATGGTGGATTTGTGGGTAGATTTTTTTTTTAATTAATACTTTCCCTAGGATTGTTATGAAAGCCTCTTTAGAAATTCTGCATAGCAAGAGCCCAAAGCCAATTGTGTATTCTTGCCAGAAGGATTTCCCTCCCTAGGAATGTTGGAGGAACACTCAACTCACTGCCAGATCAGTTGAATCAGTCTGTCCTCTTGACCAATGGTTAGATAGATATTGCTACTCATAAGCTCATGTTGTTCTAATTTCATCTTTATAATAAATAATATCCAGGGGTGCCTGGGTGGCTCAGTCAGTTAAGCATCTGACTCTTGGTTTCAGCTCAGGTCATGATCTCAGGGTCGTGGGATCAAGCCCTGCATCAGGCTCCACACTCAGCACAGAGTCTGCTTAAGACTCTCCCTCTCCCTCTGCCCCCTTCCCCCCCCACTCTCTCTCTCCCTCTCTAAAAAAAATAAATAAATCTTTAAAAACAACAACAAAGAATATCTAAAAGGAAAATACTGAGTAAGGACTGTTGGCACACATCTGATTGTCCCTTATCTAACTGGTTATTACTACAAATGTATGAGAGTGTAGAGTTTCAAAACCAACCAATCAGCCAATACCAAACTCATTTAGATGCATTGATTTTTTTTTTCTTCTTTTTTCTTTCTTTCTTTTTTTTTTTTTGCTGCTTCTTCTTCTTCTTTTTTGGATGCATTGATTTTTTTTTTTTTAAGGTACTGTCTGAAACATACAACCAACACAACTTCTCCCAAAATATCCAGGATTTAGTATGACAGGATCCAAAATATTTTTCAGGGGAGTTGCCAGTCTCATATCTCTGTCTGAGTATCTTTATTTATACCACTAACAGCTTCAAAAATTTCAAGAATTTTAAGTTACCTTAAAAGAAAAAAACAAGCAAACCCAGCCAGAGATAAAGCTCGGGCGATGAAGCTCCCCTACCTTCCCGCCTCCTTTAGTGGGCCCTTCCTCTTCTGAGAATAAATTATCCAATTTTTTAAAATCAAGATCTGCAGGGCCTTCCAGGATCTGGCTCTGCCTACCTTTTGACATCCTCTCCCACCACCTCACCCCTCCCTCCTTCCTCCACTATCTCCTCTACAAGCTTCTAGAAGTCACAGCCAGGTTTTGTTTCTCTCTAAGGTACCTTGTACATGGCGGGCACTCAGTGTTCTATAAAAGGAAGTAGAGAGAAAAAGAAAGATGGAGGGCCACCAGCTATCGTGTTCTTGGCTCAACATACCTCCAACATAATCATTTCCCGTGGAAGAGGGGTCGGTGGGGGCCTCTCTGGCAACTGAGGCACAATCTCATTTTGCATCTCATCTTCCAGGAAACCTGTGGGATGAAACCCCACCAGAGATCCCAAGGTGATTGTGTTTTCTCCCCTAAGAAATGGATCCAAGCAGACAGCCGACTTTCAGCCGGCTCAGCTGCCTAAATTGCCCCCAGGACCTGCCACAGCATCTGGATCCCAACTCTCACTGCCCCACTTTGTCTCTAGAACACTTTGTCCCTATACAAATAGGGACATGTTTGTTATAATCCAGTCCTGCAAACCACTTACCTCCCCACCAGTTCACATTTATTTTTTTTTTAAGATTTTATTTATTTATTTGACAGAGAGAGAGAGAGAGAGAGCGAGAGCAGGAACACAAGCAGGGGGAGTGGGAGAGGGAGAAGCAGGCTTCCCGCCGAGCAGGGAGCCCGATGTAGGACCCGATCCTCAGGACCTGAGCCGAAAGCAGACGCCCAACCACTGAGCCACCCAGGTACCCCCCACCAGTTCACATTTAGACAGTAAACAGAAAATTGGCTTACGGAGGATTCTCTCCAGTGACTCACACCTTCTCACTTCATTTACAAATTTCCTTTGGAAGCTGTTCACATTCCCATTTAACTAGAGTGGGGAGAAACCACAAGACACACATTGGTATCAACAGCCACCATGTATTCCCTTTGGGGTTTTTTTGTTGTTGTTGTGTTCTTTTGGTTCTGTTTTGTTTTTTGTTTTTAATGCTGGAAAATGTTGCTGGAATCATTTTAGGAATAAATATTTCCATGCACAAGACATGAGTTACAGGCAAAAAACTTGATATTCTTACACATAATCCCCCAAATGCAAATTTGGCATCCTGCCCAATAAATGTCACTGAGGAATAGCCTCCCATCAGGTCCTAGGAACTAAGGACACAAAGAACAAGACATGACCCTTCCCTGCAGGAGCTTAGTTTTGGCCATGATCTTGGTGAGGAAGTAAAGGGGTAAGGAGTCCAATTTTCTAAATCAGACTCAAAAAAGCTTGGTAAGGAAACCACCTCTGGGAAATGATACCCCAACATCACACTCAAGACCATCTCGCCCTAGAATATCACCACAGAGAGACTATGCACCCCACGATACTTTGGCCTCAGACTGACTAATTAGGAAGCATTGATTTCTGTCCTCAGAACAAGGTTTGGTAATCTACATGCCCATTGGAGATATCTAATTCTTGGAAGATACTACTTAGGAAAGAAAGTCTAATGCCATCTAACAAGTACTGACTGTACTAGAGCTTCAAAACATTCCTATAGAGGGGGTACATATGGAGGAAAGAAGAACAGGTTTGCAAGTCACTTGCTCAGTGTTATCACAAATCTTAGCCAGAACAACTAGAACCACATGGAATTCCATCTATCCCAGCTCAGGGCTCCTCTCCCTGCACTTAGTTCACTAGAAGAAGTGGTGTGAAAGAGATATCTACTCCCACCCCACCTTCCTCTGGCCTTCCAAGAATGCAGCACCTACATCTTTGAACTGAACCAATCCAAGCTCCCCAAGCTCAGCCACACAGCAATATGCAGCCTCCACCTGAAGAAACAGTTGGGACAAACACATCTCCTCACTGCGAAACACAGACGCCATCTTGACACAGCCTTGGTCTGCAGGAGACAAAGATATTGGAGAGAGTAAGGGTGTAGAAACCTTCGGATCAAAACTGGCTTTAGTTGCACTATATTAATATCCAACATGAAAAAAATCCAACAGGAATGGCTCCTAATTTTCAAAATCTAAACAAAAACAAGATAGCACTTTTCACCACCTATTGGATTGGCGAAAGATTAAAAAATACGATTACAAACTCCTGTTGTAGACGGTGTGCGAGAGCAGGCATTTTCATACACTTAGTAGTTGAAGTCTAAATTTGTACAGCTTTTTCGGAGAGCAATCTGTCAGTGTCTATCAAATTTTATATTACTCATACCCATGACCCCGGATTTCTGCTGCTCTTCATCCAGACAAACTTGGAGAGGTATGGGAAAATAGATGCAAAAGATGTTTCTGATAACATTGTATACAATAATTGTAATAAATGGATCTAATCCAGATATCCATCAACAGGAAAGTGATTAAGCTGACCTCCAGAACCCTGTGCAGTCAGCCAGAATAAAATAAATCTGTATGTCCTCTATAGGGAAAAAGGGTATTCATGTAGAATCCATTCCCATCAAAGACCCTCTGGACTGCTCTACCACTGCCAAGCCAAATTACGTGCCCTAAAGACCAACCTTCTGGAATAACTACCACAACTCCAGAATGGGCCCCCTTTTCTCATTTCATTTTATAATGTGTACAGTAGCTATTGTTTGCCAGACCCCGGATTTATCCCTTCTGTGCTTTAAGTCTTCCATCATCTCTATTTCTTATAAAATATAAGATTTGTCCAACAAAAGGCTGCGTATCTGGCCTCTGCCATCCCCTCCAGCTTCACTTCTCTTCACATTGGTCTCCAGACACACGGAATTTCTCCCAGAGCTCCCTCCTGCCTCAGGACCTTTGTCCATGCTTTCCCCTAGATCTGGAACCTCACTCTCTTCCTCCCCCTGCCCCCCAGTAACCCACACACCCAACATAATCCTGTCATTGGAGCCTCAGTGTCAGGATCCTCCTCCTCCATAAGCCCTTCCAGACCACCACCAACACCAGGTGAACCAAGTACTCCCGGAACAGAAATCACTGGCAATTATTTGTTTAATGTCTGTGTTGCCCACTGGCCAGTAAATTCCATGAGGTTAGAACTATGTCATGTTTTCCATTCTATCACCATTCTAGCTCAACCACAAAGCAGGTACTCAGAAGATATTTCCCAATTAATTGACTAGAGCCCAAACTTCATCCCTCCCTCCGGAATGCCTGGCCTGATGCTCCATTTTTTGCCTTTTGACACCTAGATGAATCAAAACTTTTCATACTACCCTTTCTGGTAAATAAGGCAATGTTTTCATAAAAGAGACACACGCCCACTAGCAGCAAGCAGACCAAGAACATAGGGTGAAAAGCCTTCTTACCCCAGCTTTGCCCCAGCAGGTCCTGGACAGGTATCTGTGGTAGGGCGAGAGCTAAGGCTCCCGCACTTCCTCAGCCCAGCCCCGCAAGCAGGTGTTTGGTCAGGGCTGGTGAGTGGCGGGCCAGGACCAGCCTGGCTTGGGGATTCCTCAGGTGGCTTCCCTGCGGCCACGAGCCCCTCCCGGTACTTCTCCTCCCTAGGTGCCTGCAGAGCCCAGAGGCAGCCCTGTTGTATCAACACTGGCCTGTGGGTGAGGACAAACTTGCCTCACCGACCAGCCCTGCTCAAGCCCCCTCCCTCCCCCAGCCACCTGTGCCCGGGGCCACGACCTTGGGGCCCCACCAGGAAGCAGTGACTTTCTTCTCTAAGGAAAGTAACTTACCTGCAGCGAGCAGAAGTTTTGGGAGAGGTTTCTAGAGGCCTTCGAAGGAAGGGCCCTGGAGACAACCTTCCAATGTGTCTACGAAGCACACCCAACACTCCTTGTCACTGTAAAAATGAAATCGTTCTGGAAATGAAAAAAAATATGCCCACCATCCTAACAAGAGCTATCTTCAAAAACACTTTACTTCCAAAACAGAATACACCAATGAATAGTCGGTAGCTAAAAGTCAGCTTCTGATGTGACCCAGGTAAAAAGAGACAGGGCCAGACATGAGGATTTACCCTTTCACTGGTTATTACTGTCTTGCATTTATTTGGTGGGGAAGGTTAGGGGCCGAGGAGTGAAGCGGTTACAGCCATGTCTCCTGGTTCAGGGGCTGGTTACTCTGCAGAGACCACCTGCGTGCCCATTAATGAGCTTGGCAGAGCAGCTTTCCCTGCGGGGGCAGGTCCCTGCATGCACCCACCTGGGGTGCCTGCACGATGTACCCTAGAATGAAAGGGGTGCTGTATTGGTTTTTTTTTTACCTTTTACTATGGAAAAATTAAAGCATCTGCAAAAGTACAGAGAACACTCTAAGGAACCTCCACAGACAGACCACTCAGCATCACCTGTTGAATTCTGCCTCATCAGTACCCTCACCTGCTTCTCCTACACACCCCAGACTGTTCTGAAGCTAATCCCACACATATTATGCCTTTCAAAATATTTCAGTATGTATCTCTAAAAAATACATAATCATATATACAATATAAATATATTATAATATACACACGTGATATATATTATATATAAATATTATATATTATTATATATCTATTACACACACACACACACACACACACACGTGATACCATGATCACACCTAAAATTCAACAATAATTCCTTGATATCAAATATCCCATCAATGTTCGAATTTCCCAGGTTGTCTGAGATCTGTCTTTTTTTTTTTTTTTAAGATTTTTTATTTATTTGAGAGAGAGAGAATGAGAGATAGCACGAGAGGGAAGAGGGTCAGAGGGAGAAGCAGACTCCCCGCTGAGCAGGGAGCCCGATGTGGGACTCGATCCTGGGACTCCAGGATCATGACCTGAGCCGAAGGCAGTCGCTTAACCAACTGAGCCACCCAGGCGCCCTGAGATCTGTCTTTTTTAATAAACCCCTCGGGTAATTCTTGTGCATCATCAAATTAGAACTATTGCTTTTGAGAACACGGTGCAAGATCTAACTTCACCTTGGGAGGCAACAGGGTGAAGGCAGTGGGAGACGATCAGCTGAGCAGGTGCTGCTTGAACCTGGGGCGGGGGGTGGGGGGGCAGGGCCTCAACGGAAGCAGGTGGCCTGTAACGAGGCCTGTAGGAAAGGTAGTGCTTGGGTTTCTTAAGAAACAGAGCTTGGCTGCAGCCACCCATCCCAACATGGCAGAATCACTTGAGTCCAGACTCACCGGGGCAAAGATCTGAAGGCTGAACTCAGGAGCGACAAGGCAGAGCTGAAGGATTAGGACTGAAAACTTCAAGGAGAATGACCAACGCTGAGTCTGCCTCTCTTGCCAGGGGAACTCGAGGGGAGAGGAACCCCCGCCCCAACCGGTTCCTCCCTCTCCTGCCCCTTCCCCTGCCCACCTCTCATTCTGCTCTTCACCCCAACTGGGGGTTGCTGTGTCTCCCCGCCAGTGGATGGTGTAGACGTTCTCAAAGGTTCCGGGGCCCAGGAATCACTGAGGGGCATAGAGAGGAAAAGCACATCTTGATGGTTAAGAGCAGAGTTTAGAACCAAACTGCCTGAGCAAGGATCCCAGCTCTCATTTACCATGTGCGACCCTGGGGAAGCGATTTAACCCCAGGTTCCCAGAGTCCTTCTCTGCAAAGTATAATAGAATATTAGGTAATTATTTTGAATGTAGAAGTATAAGAGGGAGACTGTATTTCAAGGCTTGCTTTCTTTTTCTCCTAGAGCCCTAAGTGGAAGGTGCACACTCATAGGACACCTGCTGGACAATAAATTAATGCAATCTGTCAAAAAGGCAATCTGCATATCCTTGGACCCAGTAATCCCACTTTAGGAACTTCAGCCTATGAAAAAAATTTTAAGGTTGTAAACCAAAATTTAACTACAATAGTGTCTACTGCAGCATTAAGTGTAATAAGCATGTAACCATAAATGACCTGAATTCTTTCATCCATCCACTAAATATTTATTGAGAGTATACTATGTGCCTTCTCCGTTCTGGGCTCTGAGGATAGGGCAGTTAAGTAAGACAAAAGGTCCTTGCCCTCATGAAGCTGATGTCCATAGGGAAAGAGACAAACAGTAAACAAGTAATAAATTAGCAAGATATTGCAAAGTATAAAAAGAACAGTTATAGAAAGCTAGGCTTCGGAGAAAGGAAAAGAGGCTACTTTAGGTAAGCAGATAATGGCCATTGGAGCTGAGGTGTAGAGGATTAAAATGAGCCAGGCTTGCAAAAAAAAGGGGGAAGGGAGTCCAGGCAGCAAGGAACAGCCAGCCAAGCAAGAGCGTTCACGTGACTTCATCCGCCTAGCTAGCGTATCTCCTGAGCGCTTCCCTGCGCTGCGCATTGTTCCTATGACTGTAGAGCACATTTCATTACTTTACGTGTGTCAATCACTTAATCTTTTCAATAACCCTATGAGGTTGGCGGTATTCTTATTCTCAAGTCACATACGAGGAAATAGAGGCACAAAAAGGCTAAGTAAGTTGCCCGAGGTCACACAGCCACTCAGGACAGGTCATCTAACACCAGAGTCCCTGTTTACAACTATGCATGGTATGCAACCTGTTCAAGAAATAGGAAGCCAGTGTGGCTGGGGCATGAGAGGGTGGGAAGAGGTATTAGAGCGCAGAGGCCGAGCCGGGGGGGTTCTGAGGGGCCAATAAGAAATTTGGATTTTATTCTAATCACACTGGGAAGCCCTTGAAAATTTTGAAGCAGGGGAATGACATTACCTACTTGATTCGCATTTTCAAAAAATTTCTTTGACTTCTGCTTCTGGAAAGATGGAGTAGAAATACTTTTTCTTCCCAGTAAGTAAAACGGAAAACCCTGAACATTATATATACAATAAATATTAGAAGGCCCTGAAAGGTAGAGAGAAGACAGACCTTCTAGGAAACTCAGGGTCTGAGAAATGACAGAGGTGAGTTCTCTGGGGGTTTCTTTTGCTTATTAGATCCTAGGCTTGGTGCTGCAGAAGCCAGCAAGATATGCAGATAGAAAAAAAAAAAAATCCCCCCCCAAACATTCCCAAATAAAGCCTGTTCTCTCTAGCCAACGGATCAGGAAAGGGGCAGCCTAGCAAGAAAGACTTTTAGATAATAATCACTCTAATCCAGCCAAACACCACAGAAAAGACTGTGATCCCATGCCCACTCATGCCCGCAAAGCCCAAGTGGAAAGCCCAGACTTCTACCCTCACCCAGATGTACCAAAGTGACACCCCCAGTATCGTGTCATAGAAGACCAAGTGCAGAGTCTGAATTCCCAGCCCTTATTATCCCTGTGATAATAAGGCCCCCCTTGTTAGCCTCGTTGGGTGGAACCTACAAATGAAGGAGGAAGATGTCCTCAAATTCCTTGCAGCAGGAACCCACTTAGGTGGCACCAATCTTGACGTCCAAATGGAACAGTACATCTACAAAAGGAAAAATGATGGCATCTACATTATAAATCTGAAAAGAACCTGGGAGAAGCTTCTATCAGAAGAGATCCGATGAGAACTTTCCCAACTGTCCATTGGTAATGAGACCACCCCCTTACTGGGGCGTGGAGGTCATGTGGAGAGCAGTAACCAGGCACTCCTCTCTTCCCAGACAGGGTCATATCAGCAGAGGTCTAGTGAATAGAAGAATAAAGTAAGAGAAACCACACTAACTGATTTCAGGACTTACCATACAGCTACAGTAATCAAGAGTGTGGCCCTGGTGGAAGCACAGACACACAGGTGAATGCAAGGAAATAGAGAATCCTGAAATAAACCCACAACACAAGTCAGGTCAACTGATTTTTGACAAAGGTGGAAAGCATTTCAGTAGAGGAAGGATCACCTTCTCAGCAAATGGTCTAGACCAACTGGACATCCATAGGCCAAAAACAGAACCAAGACCTAAACCTCATACCCTCTACAAAAATTAACTCAAAACAGATCATAGATAAATTTAAAATGTAAAACTAGAGGCACTCGGGTGGCTCAGTTGGTGAAGCATCCAACTCTTGATTTTTGGCTCAGGTCATGATCTCAGGGTTGTGAGATCGAGTCCAAAGCAGGCTCCTCACTCAGCGAGTCTGCTGGAGAGCCTCTCTCTCCTCCTGCCCCTCCCCCGCTCCATGTGCATGTGAGAACATGCTCTCTCGTAAAAAAAAAAAAAAAGAAAGAAAGAAAGAAAGAAAGAAAGAAAGAAAGAAAGAAAGAAAGAAA